TTTGGTGTTTTATGTAAACCTGATCGGTGAAGACTGTGGAAGAACTGCAGTGCTTGTAAGAGTTTTTGTTTTGCATTCTTGTCGGAGACTCATATTTATGTTATTTCTGGGCTCGAAGCCAGTTTGAACTGAAAACTGATGAAGACTTCCTTTTAAGTTGCCTGTCTGCGTTTGTTAACGAGCCGTGAAGAGGGGGACAGAACACATTACTAGTTTAATTGAATTACAAATTCATGTCGTGAAAATTGGTCATCGTAAATTCCATGAGATTATCACAAAGGTTAAGAGGGTAGGTTGTGGCCTAATAGTTTGTTACGGCCACGTGTTTGCTACAGAAAACCTACTTCTGAAACCGCGTGCAAATCATACTTTTCAACGGGTGTTGAACCTAATCCAGGGCAAAGCTGCAACTTATCTCTTATCTGTTTATTTGTGTATGCAGAAATAATCATTGCCTGAGATTTGTCTTTGGAAGTTGTACAGAATCCATTTCTCGGTATGGGCTTCCCTAAAGGGAATGATCAAAAAATCATAATACAATGTAAAGTTGTTACAAAATTCCACAAAATCATTTTATATCGACATATTCTTTTCTTTTTCAAATAAAAAACAGGAGTCTATGTTCATGGATTATTCTTGGATGGAGCTCGTTGGAACAGGAAGACGAAGAAATTAGGGGAATCTTACCCCAAAATCCTTTATGATAATATGCCAGTGGTTAGTATCTTCCTGCTAAATATGATTTTTTTCTAGTAATCTGGTAGTCCTCAATTTACGACCACATTTTTTTCTAGTAATCAGGCAGTCCTCAATTGAACACAATTGAGCCTAAAATTTATATTGAGAAATTTGTTAAGTGAGTTTGCTCCATTTTACGACTTTTCTCGCCACATGTTAAGTGAATTACTACAGTTCTCAAATTAGCAACATGGTTGTTAAGTGACTCTGGTTTCCCCATTGACTTTGCTCGTCGGAAGGTTGCAAAAGGGGATCACATGACTCCGGGACACTGCAACTGTCATAAATGTGAGTCAGTTGTCAAGTACCCAAATGTAAATCAAATGACCATGGGGATGATGCAAAGGTCATAAGTGTGAAAAATGGTCATAAATGCCTTTTCCCCAGTGCCTTTGAAGGGTCACTAAATGAATTGCTGTAAGTTGAGGACTACCTATATCCATTGACCTGGGTTGAAGCAAACATGAACTTGCGAGGGGGATTCAAGCATGCATATTACCTGTGTGTAAGCAACTCAAGTATCCTATGTGACTATATATCCCACTTCTTAAATTGTGCTAGAAGTTTGCATTTGACTGTACCACTATGCCGATTGCCTTGGTTCCACCACAAATCCGCGAAGCCCTTATCCACGGAGACATAAGCGCGAAGACTAATTCGCGCCGTTCTAAGCGCTAAGGAAAAACATGACCCTACCGCGATGACATAATCGCGGAGGGCACATCCCCAAGCACTCAGTACCCTAAACCTAACCCTAAACCTAACCCTAAA